TCAATAGAATCTTAATTTATCAGTAGTATTCTTTTTAATCTGTACTTCCTCCTTCCACACAGCAGCTCAGGACAGCTAAAAATTTAAAAAGCTATTTTGTGTCTTTTGCACAATACATTGGCTGTTTTCTCCCAAAATGGCTTCAGATGAAAACATGACATTAGTCTTCAGAGAGAGCAAATGCCCTCTGTCACAGTTATATCATCCTGAGTGGAAAGTTAGGCTCTTTTATATATTTTTTTCTTCTGCCAGGTTGTTTTCAGATTTATAGATGTTGGTGATAAGGAATATTCCAGGGATTCAGACTTAATAACTACATGCTGTAAAGTCAATTTTGATTAATGGCAGCCAATTTCCATTGTTTTCTCCATAAAGGGTTTACCATCCCCTCTTCTGAGGTCACTCTGGGACTGTGCAGCTTGCCCAGGGTTGCATAGGTTTGCTCTCTAGACTTCTATGATTGCTTTTTTCTTTGTATATTTTAAGAGGGTATGCATTGTCTATATCCCTCTTTAATAGCAGGATTAGAGGGCTCACCCAATCAAGCAGCTGGGCGAAAAATGATGGAGCAACAGCAGGAACCTCTGAACTCAGTTGGCCTCAGTGACTCTATAAAAAGGGATCTACATTGTAGCATGTTGATACCACTTTGGATGCCATGGCTGAATCCATCAGAATCCCAAAAAGTGTAGTTCAATTAAGGAATCTCTACTGTAGTTTAGGGCAGTGGTCCCCAACCTTGGGCCTCCAGATGTTCTTGGACTACAACTCCTAGAAGCCTTCGCCGCCACCTCTGCTGGCCAGGATTTCTGGGAGTTGAAGTCCAAGAATATCTGGAGGCCCAAGTTTGGGGACCACTGGTTTAGGGGACAGCATTACTCTTTGAAAGCCCCTTCACCAAACTGCAGAGCCCAGGATGCCATAGGATGGAGCCATGGCAGTTAAAAAGTGGCATAATTATGTGAAGTAAGACATACGGTATGTCCCACACCTAATGACTAAACAACATGCTATTCACTCAATTCATATCTAACGTTTAAAAGCTGATTGGTCAATCTGTTTTCCAGATGTTGGGCCCTAACACCTGTGATGAAGGTCCATACTTCCTTAGATAGACAGAAGTTGCAGTTTATAACATGGTGAGGGTGGAGTGGTGACAAGTAGGATCAATTCTAAAAAATAAGTGGGCTCCTGATGATGTTGGGTTCCCCACATTCCCTGCCCCTGGCTATGTTGGCTAGGACTGATGGGTGTTGTAGTCCAACTACACCTGGAAGGCTGCCCTTTCTCTAGCATAAAACACATGACTTCCGAAGAATCTTCTTTTCTCCCAAGGATCACCGGTTCTTGCCCCTTTCCAGATTAAGTAAAAAGCAGTCAAGGAAGCTCGTGATACCATGTAAATTACAATTATACAGTATGTTTATTGTTGCAAGTCATGCTGTTTTTAAAGGTCAAGAGCAAGGCACTGATAAGTTGCTAATGATTCTATTCATATTCTGCTTCTAAGGTACTCTGCATGCCATGCTTTAGAACAGCCATTATCAACCTTTATGATCATGGCCATTCTAGGGATCTTCTCATGTTCCTGGAACCCCCTGCCAAGCAAGGATAGGACAAGAACAGATAAAGATGGGCTCCCCTCCTCATATTTTTCAATCTGTAACCCCCTTCAAGTGTGCCAGGGCCCCCAAGGAGCCATATGGACCCCCGCTGAGAAAAGTTGTGTTGGAGAGATGGTTTGAACATTTCCCCCTGAAAGCACAGTTTCAGATATGCGCGTAATTATAGGAGGTGGGGGGAAAGCTAGCAAGATCTTACAACATAATTTCTAGAGTGGTCTTAAAGGCCAGATGGGCGGGGTATAAATCAAATAAGTAAGTAAGTAAGTTCTTATTTTCTACATTAATGGATTGCCATTTTGCCACACTTTATAGGTAAATTAGCTTTAATTGCTGAAGTCTAAGAGGCACGGTACAAGAAGGAAAAAAGGAGGAAAGAGGGAAGTAAAAATTTACAATGAAGTTTTGAAAAAGAATTTCAGGAAGCACTTCTGAGATGGGAGCAGCTTTAAAGCAATTGGTTTCAGCCAGAAATATGCTTGTTCTTGAAGAAAACAGGGTGGGAAACCTGTGCTCCTCCAGATGTTTTGGCTAAGTTCTCCAATCCCTAACCATTGACCTTGTGTCCCCAGATGTTCTTGGGCTACAACTCCCAGAAATCCTGGCCAGCACAGCTAGTGGTGAAGTCTTCTGGGTGTTTTAATCCAAGAACATCTGGTCTAAATAGTTAACCCCCTGGCAAAAACTGTTCATATTCATGCATTTCTAAGGGTATACTATATCCTAACATGGCTGTTCTCCTAGGCTCCTGTTGTAATCACAACCTTATGAACTCATTTGGTAGACCAAGCTCGAGTGCTCTGAATGGGAGATGAAACTTCTGGGATGGAGATGGCAAACCAGTGCTTTCTACCATAGATGACATCGGAAAGTCAAAACCAACACAGTCTTCAGGACTAGAACGAATCATTGTCTCTGTCTTCGCAGGTGTCTAGAAGCCAGGCCTGCCTTCACACAGGGTTGCTCAGCATATAATTTCAGAGACACAGATGCTGAATAGGGCAGTGAAAGGCTGGGTCATCTGATAGAGACTAGGGGAGCACTGAAGGGCACACCACAAGGAAAAAGAATTTAAATGAAGTTACAGAGGAAGCAAAGAAGCTGGACTGGGATCCTGAGAGGAATGTATGCTGATGTCCATGTTTAGAGATGAGGGTCTCAAGGGACAAGAAGACTCAAAATAATGCGAGTGCCTGGAGAAAGTGTGTACAGTCTCCCTCAGCAACACTGGCTGTTTCTCCTCACTTTAAGAAACTCCTGTTTTCCAAACATGGGTTGTGTGATAAAGAGTAGATCACCATTCCAGTAAGGTTTAACCTGATTCATGATCTACCCATGACTGTGCAAAGTGCATTCAACAACCAGCCAATCTGGTTGGCTGCTGTCACTTTGGGATAAGGGCTTCTGGGAAAATGAAGATCGTTTTTTCAAACAGACAGAAAGGCCTTAGGGTTGCCAACCAATCAGAACGAGAGAAAAAAATCCCACCATAGCCTGGTCTGATCATGAGACAGTGTCTTACTATTCAGAAACTGGATTTTCCACCTACAAGTAATCATAGCCTTATGAAAACCTGGTATCCTCCACATATTTATATTTTATTATAGTTATTTACTTACATTTATAAGACACCTCTGGACACCTATAAAACCAATTCTCAATATATTGTGCAAGTTAAAAAAAAGACCATGCCAGACCAATCACTAGAAAACTACAAGAGCTAAAACACACTACTGTACAAAAGCAGCACAATGAAAATGCAAAAGAATATTCCAGCCCAACATGATGGAAACTATAACACAAAATGAGCAATTAAAAAGCAGCCAAGAAAAAAACCCACAGATGTTAACAGATCAACACACAAGAGCTATTGAAACAGCAGCAATATTACTATTAAAAGGCATGAGGAACAGAAGTCAGCGCAAAAAGCTGACAATCCTACCAGAGTCTCAGAATCTTTCCGCAGTTGTTCTTTCAAATTAAACACCCATTTCTTGGGTTTTGCTTCGTGTGCCGTTTTGAACGACTGTACAGTACTAGGGTGGCTGGTTCTTTCTTTGCTACTTTTTGGCAGTTGGTTGCTGTAGCAACACCCTGGCATTCTTTGAGTCGAAGTAAGACATACGGTATGTCCAGCACCTAATGACTAAATGACATGCTATTCACTCAACTCATATCTAATGTTTAAAAGCTGATTGGTCAACCTGTTTTCCAGATGTTGGGCCCTAACACCTGTGATGAAGGTCCATACTTCCTTAGATAGACAGAAGTTGCAGTTTATAACATGGTGGGGGTGGGGTGGGGTCACAGGTTGTTGTTACCTGCAACAAAACTGATTCTGGGCCACAGTAGATGTATAGAAGCTGAATTTGTCTGCCCTCATGTTTAGTGCAAAACAGCAATTTTAACACTAACACTTTAAAACTTACATATTATTTCAAAGCATTGGCACATCTAGCTTGACCTAGAATTTGAACTTCATTTGATCTGCTCTTGCCCCTTTCCAGGGCAGATTGTTAAGTAAAAAGCAGTCAGCGAAGCTCGTGGTACCATGTAAATTACAATTATATGTTTATTGTTGCAGGTCATGCTGTTTTTAAAGGTCAAGAGCAAGGCACTGATAAGTTGCTAATGATTCTACAGTATTCATATTCTGCTTTTAAGGTACTCTGCATGCAATGCTTTAGAACAGCCATTCTCAGCCTTTATGATCATGGCCATTCTAGGGCTCTTCTCATGTTCCTGGAACCCCCTGCCAGGCAAGGATACAGGAACAGATAAAGATGGGCTCCCCTTCTCATATTTTTCAATCTGTAACCCCCTTCAAGTGTGCCAGGGCCCCCAAGGAGCCATATGGACCTAGGGTTTCAGCTGAGGTGGTGGAGGGGTGCTGCTGCCCATCGTTCCCCCTGCAAAAAATCAGACATTATATGTAAACTATTATTTGAATACAAAGCTGGTTATTATGTGCAGTTAACTTGTTTCAGATTTATGGCAACCTCTTTGAATGAATGACAGTGAGTGTGGTGTAGTGGACAAAGGAACAGACTCCGATTCAGGAGACTTAAATTCAGATTGTTGTTTGGCTATGGAAACTTGTGAGTGTGTGTGTGTGCACGCACACGCATACACACAGAGTAAACCCATTCCTTATATGTCTCACAGACTTTAAAAACCCTACTAAGGTCATTATAAATCAGATGTGACTTCTCAGCACATAACAAGCAAAATGAACTAATGACTTAATTAAAGCCATATCTTTAACAGCCCTGCTGAGTTCTTTGGAACTTACTTTACTGAGTGAATCCATAAAACTTTAGGTCTCATCCTCCTCTTACTTCCTCTGGTCCTGCCTTTCCTCAGCATTACTGTATTGCCATTTCCAGTGCTTATTACCAGCATTGACCACTAGATGGCTCTCCTGGATCATCATTACCATCTTACTGTCACAATAGGTTTGGTCTGACTTGGCACCCAATTACTTTACTGCTTGTATTTTGTGTGGGTTGCATCACAACTGAGTGTCAGTCTACAGCCTATGTTTGTGTCTGAAGCAACCCAATTGTGTTTCTGGAGTGGAAGGATCAGCTGAGAGACCATTGTTGCTGACCAAGGACACCTAAATGTGCTCACAGCCCTCACATTCCTGGGAAGTCTTTGTGTGTGTCCCCAGTGTATATTATAAATGGCTTTAAGTAACTCTTAGTTATTGCTTATATGGTAAGCCAGTACTGTATACTGTTAGTTATTGCTTGTACACATGAGTGTATATACAAGGGACTCCTTATTTGTTTAAATTCAGTACAGTAGTAACTTTCAGTGGTATAAGATGCTGCCAAAATATGGATATCTTATTGTTTCCAATCATACTGTTTCTTTTCTGCCACTAAAATCTATGTGTAAGAACTTAGCTACAGCCATCTTCTCACCCAGCTTCTTAAAAAATAATAATCAAAATGTCCCAACTGGAAAGATTATTGGCTGTTTTGAGCTACTGGGCGCACTCCATAAAAATAATAAAAATAGACTGTACAAACAGTGGCTTCCACAGCAAAGTGACTTGCAGAAGTAGATACTTCGCTAAAGAGGGATTCTCATGTTAAAACAGCTTCCTTTTGCCAGATACAATGGCTTTTTCCTTTTTCGTTCCCTCTGGGTACTAAAAGTTCCTCAAGCTAATGACTGCTGAAGTCCACCTAGCTGAAAGGGGCTTTGGAAGGAACTTTCTTTGCTTAATAGTTAAGAACTCAAAGCACTCTCTAAAGCCAGTCTGTTCCAAAACAAGCTGAAGATGAGCCCTGAGTTGCTTCACATAATAAGCTTCAAGTCCTTACAGCTGGTGGGAATAATTAACAGATCCTGGGTAATAGAAACTCAAAACCCTATGAATGAAAGAAATTTCTTTTATCCCTTTGTGGTAACAGATTCTGCCCATCTACTACTTTTATTGCTCGTAAGAAAATTAGAAATTATTTTAATGTTAATTTTGAATTTAGAAAAAAAAACACAGCATTCATTGAACTGTAGCACAATCCTACATGTTTACCTTATAAAGTTTTAAGAGTTTGGTCCTGTTATCACAAGCCATTCTATTGTCTAATGTTTGCTAGTTTTTGAGTGAGTGTGCATGCGTGCGGCCATTTTGTATCAATGTTGTTCCTGTCACATTACTGTTTGCTTTTAATTATTATTCCATTAGCCACTCCCAGCTCTGTCCAAAAAAAAATGTAGGGTGCACTTATTCAACACAGTTAAAACTGCAAAAGGGGGGGGTAAAGTAATTAAGCCAGAGCTGCTGAAGCTACAGAGGGGGTAGCACAAGAATTAAAAAGACAAATGGAGGTGGAGCCCAAGAGACTCTTATGCTTAATCCCTCAAGTGCATAAGGAAAATAAGAGTCTACTTTTGGCCAGTGTGGAATGATGAATCATATGGCACAGTAGGCTGGGTATGTTAAGAAAAAACTAAAAAATTACAAAGCCTCCTGCTTACAACAAACCTTTTTTCTTTTCTTTTTTTTCAAAACCATAAAATTATCCTCTTTGAAAGTGGTTAGCGTATGTGGCACTTTCGATCTTAAAAGCTCTCATGTTTTTTTGCAGCCAAAGGCAGCCAAGGGTTTTTCTTACATGATTTTTTGGGCTTGTGGCTTTGTAAAAGCTTGTCTGGGCACAACGGCCAGATGTTACATCACCAAGTGTCCCTTTGAAAAGGATTCTATATTTAACAGTAAAATGTCCGTTTGGAATTATCAGCAGTTCACAAAGTTCTGTGAAGAAGGCACACAAACGGTAAAGGATGTGCCTCCATCAACTCATTTCTCAGACTGTCCCAGGGCTCATGTAACAGTATGCTGCCTCCCCATGAATTAAAAACCTAGTTCTATTTCATACAAAAAGAATGTGTCGTGAAGAGAACCTGATTTCATGTTTTCTGTGTGGAGGGAATATTCTCATAATGGGCGTGGGACTCAAACATGTAACTCCCTGCCTGCATATTGAACCTCTAAAGCCAGAGCAGAGTGAAATGACTGCCTCAGGCTGCAGAATGTGGGAAGCATCCGTGGGTCCCTTAGTCACCACCAATCCCATTGGACATTCCTTTCTCCTACATGCTGGAGCCATGAGTCTGTCCCACACAGCCTGTCCTCTGGCTTTCAGGCTGGCCTGCTGCCCTCAGCAAGATCCTGGGCCACGGCCAGTACAGAGATAAAGTCCTATGGGAGTCCCATCAGTTTCTCTGTACAGGATGTGGGAGGTGGCACCAGGAAGCCTTTCTGGAACAGATGCTCTTTGATAGAGAAGCTGTCTCTTCATCTTGGATGTATGAGCACATATCATCCAGGATTGCCCTGCCGGACATACGGGCACTGTTGGCATGTACTTACCCTTATTCTCCCAGCCAAAACACCCCCACCCATATATACACCCATCCAGAGAGAGAGTGTGTGTGTTTGTAGTAAATACAGACCTAAAGGCTCCTTCTTCTCTGCTTTCTGTATTTATTTATTCATAGCCTTGCATTGGTTTAAACAATTTTCTTTTCCCTCCAGCCTTTGCTTGGAGGATCAACAATTCCAAATGCAGCTGGTTAACTTTGTTGGGCAGTGCCTTTCTTCACGTGGTGCTTTGGGCCAAAATCAGGGACATGAAACATTATCCCTTAATGGGCCTTTTTAAACAGGAAAAATTCTTTCCGGGAGATTATTTGGAGCAAGGAGATGCCCATATTCTCCCTTCTGCTTTCCTGATTTTGGCTGTTACAAGAAGCCAAGTTTCTAATTTGAAACTTGCAGCTGGCATAATGTTACATGTACTTGTGCAGCACTTTTAGCATGCCTCCTAGCGTACACTTTTAAACCAATGTATGCTCTACAAACTGTCCATCATTAGTAGGGGTATACAGTACTAGTATCTTTTCCATTGCAATCTATCTAAATACTGTGTTTTCAGTATCTCCCATTGCAATCTATCTAAATACTGTGTTTTCCCGAAAATAAGACAGGGTCTTAGATTAATGTTTTTCTTTATTTTCAGGGGATGTCTTATTTTTTTCCCCATGTACAACCATCTACATTTATTCAAGTAACAGTTATGTCACCTTCTTCTGGTTGCAGCACAATAGTGGAGAGTGGGGTTTCACTTAACTGGGGCTTATTTTGGGGGTAGGGCTTATATTACAAGCATTCTGAAAAATCATACTAGGGCTTGTTTTCAGGTTAGGTCTTATTTTCGGGGAAACAGGGTATTTGTTGTGCAGATCAGGACTGACGCAATCCGAGTTTGTTTTGGAGGGTTCTCAATGTGTTCTCAGGTTCATGCAGTCATAAGCACATTTCTGGATCTGCATTAAACAGTGACAACTGCCACATAAAAATGGGGAGGAGGGCTAAGACCTCAGATGGTAGTTGTTATGCAATACTGTTAATTTTTGAAATGTAATGAATCTTAACAGGACGTGGTGGTGCTGCAGGCTAAACTGCAGAAGCCTGTGCTGCAGGGTCAGAAGACCAAGCAGTCGTAAGATCGAATCCACCTGACGGAGTGAGCACCCGTCACCTGTCCCA